TATGTTGAGGAAAGAAACATAGGACAAACAGGGTTCGTTATTATCTTTGGTTCTAGGTATCTACTGGGGGTCTGAGCACATGTCTCCCTTGGACAAGGGGAACTGTAATAATTCCTCCTGGTCCACAGGTTAAAAGATTGGCAGTACTCATTACTATTAGCAGCAAGTTTATGTGCTTAAATCTTGCCAGGTTCAGCATAAACACTGACAATGATAAGTTGAGCTCATGAAAACCAATCAATACCATTTCCCACACTTCACTTCGGTAATGTTTCGCAGGATTACAGGAGATTAACTGCAGAAGAATATGTCAGCAGTGAAAATTAGTGTTATATGTGGGCCATGTTTATTGGTTATTTAATTCTTATAAGTCAAATTAGTTTGACTTAATGTGATTTTAAATTATATTAAAACCACCCAACCCAAAGCAAAATATTCATTAAGATGTAAAGCTCCAATATTCATGAGAAATGAACTTGAACTTAGATTTATCCTTTGTCGTAAGTTAACTGTATTGCCTACAGTTATAAGTTTGTATAATTTAAAACAGGAGAAAGGACATTCTTCATCTTAGGTTACCAAGGCCTCTGACTTAAGAAGTGTTCAGCTCCAGCATATCTTGTTTTAGAGAAAAGAAGCTGAAGGGGCCTGTGAAATAACTGAGCAAAACCAAAACCAAAAAGCCATCCACCACCATCAAAGGCATACACAGACACACTGGCGCGCACACACACACACACACACACACACACACACACACACACACACCACACAGCACACACACGACCAGCCTGGGAGACACGTTTTGGGAGTTGTGGAGGAGTCAGGGTTCACCTGAGCCACTGCAGCATTTCTGAGAGAGAGAGTTCTGTGGGTGGATAAGCCCCGAGACCTCTCCCTAGAAAGGGCTCTGAGGACGAAGGGACTGGACAAGTGCTGCATCCGCCACTTCTCTTCGGAGCTCCCCTGCATATTGGCCTATTAAAGCCACGGAGAACTTCTCCAGGAAAGACAAATGACCATTTCGGCTTCTCCAGTATTTTCTAACATGTTTGATTATGGGCTTCTTGCCCACTCCCATTAAATGGGTTGACCTCGAATGGAACACACTTTGGGAAATGCTGATCCTTGATGTGAAAAGCTGACAACAAAGGGAAGAAAGGATCTGCACAGAGCAAAAGAGAAGGGAATACTGGGAAATTCCGGCACGGTGTTTGGTGCCCACAGTGTCTGTGATGTTGCCGTGAGTTGACATGAGGAATCATAGATTCCACTCTCGCCTTTGCAACGGAGTGCCGGTAGACAATTCATGTCTCCATCTAAATCCCACTTTTCTTAATTGTAAAATCAGAGTTAAAGAAATGATCTTGATTGGCCATTCTAGGTTCAATTAGATGATTCTATCTCAGCTATCATAATGGAAGAAGAGAAAATAGAATTTGCTTGTCAAGAATTCTCTTTATAACTAACTTTCTTAGAATGCAAAATAAATGGTGTTTGAAGCAGAAATCCTATGATACAATCACATGTGGATAGGTGATTCTTAACACTCATTATTTTGATTAAAAACTCAGTCACAGGGTGCAGCCTGGAATACTCCTTAGTGTTGGCGCTTGCTCTCATTAAACACTTAAAAAAACAACAGCCCAGAAACGTTCAGCAGCTAACTCTTTGATTAAAGCCAAGGGCCAACTTTAAAGTTAGTTCTTTTAATTACTTGTCCTTCAGGTTGTACGATCTGTGACTACACTATTTTTGGTTATTAATCACAGTTTGCACTTCAAAAAAATCAAGATGTGGTTGAAATAACTGACTTAATGAAGTTAATATAAAATATGGAAAAATACAAGAGTGCAAATTATCTTGCAAAAGTGTCTATACTTTGCAAATGTCATAGTTTTCCTTTAACAGACAATTAGAGAGAGGAGGTATAATTGCTAGGGAAGTCAATCATTGATCTGATGTCACCTATGAGCTGACAGTTTCTCCCATACCTTTCATTACCTGAGCTCTGTAATTAAATACGTTAGAGATTGAAGACTTCAAGTCACCTGCAAGTTGCATCCCAGATTATATGAAATAGGAAACTAGATTAGTCCCCAAATGAACTTAAGATGTATTTCTATATTTAACCAAATTACTTTTTCAGGATCCATTCGTAATAGTCACTTTCAGACACACAGTTGATTAGGAAAGCAGGAGTTGAAGTCTTGACAATGGAAACGGAGGGCATTACAGACTCCTGCCCACGGAGACCTGTACCATCAGGCACCTCTCCTGCCCTCATCATGTTGGATCTGATCCACCCCGTGGTTCTCAACTGGGGCTGTACAGTAGATTCACCAGGAGAGGTTTTTATTTGATTATTGTTATTATTTTAAAATATATTTTTATTGATTTCAGAGAGGAAGAGAGAGGGAGAGAGAAATGATGAGAATCATTGATTGGCTGCTTCCTGCATGCCCTCTACTGGGGATCGACACCACAACCTGGGCATGTGCCCTGACCGGAATCAAACTGTGACCTCGTGGTTCATACGTTGATGCTTAACCACTGACCCACATGGGCGGGGGGAGGGGAGGTTTTTAAATTTTCCATTACTCAGGTTGCAATTGAGATTTATCAAATCACTCTCTAGGGTGGAACCTAGGCATCAGTATCCTTACAAATTTTCCAGAAGATTCTAATATGCAGCAAAATGTGATAATCAGTGAAGCAGAATAGGCCCAATAAATTTTCAAGTAAGCTTGATGTATCATTTTGTTTGAAATCGGCAGTGTGAAGCACGCCTGCTTCTTTTCAACCCTTCTGTAGAAATCTCAACAGCAATGAACAGTCGAAGGTTCTCGTGGACATAGAATCAGATTGGGCCACTTGGAATCTGTCTGGATTTTTGAATAGAAAATGAGAGCTAATGTTTCTGTATGATGGGAGGTGTGGGCTATGGAATGGCTGAGTGTTTTGGCAAGTGGAATGAGAAGCTGAGAAAGTTTCAGGGGGGATGGGAGAGAGACAAAGAGAGTGAGAAATGGTTAAGAAAGAGAAGAGAGAAGAGGTGGGCAAGATGAATCAGAGATAATAATGTGTCTAGATCCCCAGGCAGACAGCTGTCATTTCTGCCTGCTTGGCACCCCTCTCCACTTTGTTAACAGTGCCTTTTTCTCGGTCAGGGACCATACCACTCCCATTCCAAACAGGTTGGCGATAACAGACAAATGAAGGAAGCCCTCGAGCCACTTGCTCCCTGAGCAGAGGCTCCAGGCAGAAAGAGGTGGTGCTGTCACTTTGGTGACTATCATCAGGAGAAAATATGGTTCCCGCTGCAGGATCTCCGGACCTGCCCTGATTCCTGTACCTCCTGCATCTGATCATTCAACAGATCCTTGGATTCTGGGATCAAGGGTGTATGTTGCTTATAATTCAGTTTCCTATCGTTTTCTTGTTCTAGCTCTAGTCCCTTTGGAGGCTTTGTAGCATTCTGTTTTGGGGTTCATGAGAGAGACTTGTACCCTTAAGATTTTTTTTTTTTTTAGCCTAGATGTTTTTTATATTTGTAACTACACATCTTAACTAGTACAGAGTTGACTTCCCCATGTATGTGGATGTTTTGAGACTGACTAAAGCAGGAACAAGGCCTTCTAAGCCCCACTCCAGCCTTCAAGGTAATAACCAGGATAACCCAACTAGATTATAATTCTGCATGCTTTCTGAAGTCCCAGTGATGGATTTGCATTTTGTAAGTATAAAAACCTTGGAGAGAAATTCATAATAAAGCTATACTTTATGAACAATAAGATTAAAAGCTTATCATACACAAACATGGTCCTACATAATGTATGATCCTTTGCATAGGAGCCCAAATCTACTCCTGACAAAGGAGCTCTTATTTCCTCTATCAAACAACATTAAATAAAATTACAGCACTGCCATCAAACCCAACTGTACACCCGTACTTCTTCATCCCCAATGGTATGCTTCTCTATTAAAAAAATCTTTATTAAATAACAACATGTGCCAGTTAATAGAAGTGCTTCCTTGAGCTCAACATCAATATGCTTGGCACACTCTTCAAGGCCATCCACTCAAGTTCAGGAAGCACACAAGTTCCCTCGGCTGCATCGCAAGGTTACAGTGACATGACCTTGAAGACCAAAGAAAGCCTCACCAATTTCTCTGGCTCAATCATAGCAGCAGTGAGGCGTATGGCATGTACGTCTGACTTCTTGTAAAATCTGGATCCATGGAGCTAGGTTTGGGTCATATTGTTAAAATTCAGAGGTAATTGGTAAAACAAAAAAAAGCAGCAAAGCAAAGCACAGTGCTAAGCAGCTTAAGTGATTAACAATGTTGTGATCTCGGCAAACTCTGGATGAACTATAATGAAATGGAAATAGTGGGGCCAGTGCCAATAAAATGTGATCATTAAGTCTGACCAGCGCACATTTCCTTTTTTAAGCGTCTAAGAAAAGGTAAATAGTACTTAGGAATATTCTGGTAAAGAAAGCGGGATACATAAAAAGGAGCAGTTTAAAAGGTCATCTTCTAATCATCATATTTTATTTTTAATACAAATAGGTAATAAAATAAAAGGTACCCAGGTATCGTTTAAAGAAGAATACATTTTCTATACATCCAGCCATCATTTACAGATTAACACTGCAAAGTATTTGAATTATTAACTCTTAATTTTTACATAAAATTATATGAAAAAAACACACACAAAATTATATGTAAGATGAGAACCAAAAAATAAGAACCAATTCAAAACCCTAAAATCTTGCCTGTGTATTAATTCCTTCACAGTTCCAAAAAGGCACACACGTCTACAAAAAGGATGTAGTTATTCTTAACAACAAACATTATTTACAAAAGAAATTCACTTCTCTCAGTTACTTCTGACTCTGCGGGCCTGCCTGACACGCACACTGTGGTGTCCACAGAGTCAGAACTGCTGTCCTGCGCGGCCTGGGGGTGGCCATTCTTTGCCCTGGAAGGAGGGCTTACACCAACTCGTAGTATTTCCCAGTCTGGGGATCAAAGTAACAGTTCAGACATGGGTCATACAGAAGAGTCAGCACTTCCTCGTCCTCTTCCACACTCAGGTCTTCTTCACCTGTGGGAAGGGGAACCACAGACATGTTAGCTACTGGCCTCGCCCCAAATTCCTAAACGGCAACATCGGAAGAGCGAGGAAACGGGAATCGCCGTCTCTCCCTGGGGACTTTCTTTCCGTGGGTAGATGTTGGTTCTGAGGGAGGAGCGCTGCAGACGTGATGAGATGATGCAGTGCAAGGCAGGGAAGAGTCAGCAATCACAGGCCCGCTTTGGTGGGAAGGAGAAGGAAAACTGAGTGTGGAGAACTGGCGGGGAGGGGGAAGGACTGAGGGTTATGTGAATCAGGGTTAGGGAAACCAGTAGGATTCAAAGCAGCCGTCACGGTTTTATGCTTCTTCAGGGGCCAGAGCAGTGCAAATGCAAAAGTGTGAATTGAATGACATAATAAAAAACTCAATCCCCATTCATACAGCCTAAAAAGACTACCAAATAAACACGAATTAGGATAAAATGTTTAGAACACACAATATATAAGATGAAGTATTGTAGAATTGTTAATCTGAAACACAGATAATTTTATTACTAATAGATTAAATTAAAACAATTAAAAGTATTTAGAAACATAAATAGGATATATAAAGCACAGAAGCCATACGGAAAGGACAATGCCAGGTGACCTGTCATTTTATTAGTGGTGGGAAGTATGTGAACTTTGCTGGGAATAGTGAACATGGCTGGAGGTCTTTTGTTGTTGCTGTTGTGACAGCCATTTGGATGGTTTGCATGAAAAGAATTGCTGCTGCCCAAGTTATTAGCAAAGTTTGCTTGATTTCCTACAAATAACATGGAATGAGAAACCTGTTTTACTAGATGACTCCCTGCGCCTTTTCTGTGTCCAGTGTGTGCTATGTACTTGGGTACCTGACACCATCACCAGCGAGTGCCTTCTGGGTACTTCGGAAAATCCATGTAACAGAAATTTAGAGGCTGGGAGGCAAGATCTCCCTGAGCTGGAGAAAACCAGAGCAGGCTCAGGTGGGAAAGGAGATTAAGACAACACTCCTCTGTCTTCCTTGCATAGGTTACCAAGAACCAAACTTTTGGGTCACGGGCTTACAAGGGGCAGTTTGGGAAAGTGGTGGGCATAGGCAGGCTGGCATGCAATACAGGCTCAATAAATACTGAATGTTCTTTGAAAGGGTGAATAAATGATTGGGAAACAAAGCCTGTGAGCTTAAGTGTCATTGCCCAGAGTAAGGGAAGGTGGTGGTATTGGTGGGGCTTCATTTCAGTCCCTAAAATCAGATCAAGCTGGTGCATGGACCTTGTTGAGACAGTGACGGGATGGACAGTCACCTCACAGTGGCAGCCGACCTGAGCGCCCTGCAGTTTCTTACTGAGAACAGGAGCGCGGAGAAGCAGGCTGCCTGTCCTTCACTTTCTGTTGTCACCTTAAGAGTGGAGCCCAGGGCCTCCACCTGCTTCCTCTACGTGTCAGAGGCTGGGAATGTTTCCCAAGAGGCAGTTTTATAGGGAAAAGGACCCCAGGAGGTCACTTCTGTACATCAAAGGGGTGTGTGCACTTCGTTTACTTTCACATATTCAACCCATCACTTCTTCCATATTGGGGCGAATGCAGAGAACAGAACCAAGCCAGTTTATCAATAGGACCTACTGTGTGCCTGCCATGTGGCTGAGCAGTCCAGTAGTGGATGTGACATACACACACACACACACACACACACACACACACACACACACAAAACAAAAGCAGCCCCTGCAGGTAGACAAGGAGATGGACAGGGAGGCACAATGGCAGAGGTGAAGAGCTGCAGGAGCCACCAAACCTGGGAGGGATGGGAGCCTGCTGTTCGGGCCCACATCACCTTAGGCTGCTTCGGTCATTTCACCTCACAAGCCCTTTGCTTGCTCATTTATGAAGCGGGAATAACGGTGCCTCTCTCACAGGGCATGGTGGCAGACACTGGACACTGGGTGCCAGGCATCACACAGTGCACTCGGTAGCTGTTCAGTCATGGTCATTACCACCACTATTAAGGATAATAACAATAAAATAAGTCATGAACTATAGGCTGTGACTTTTTAGTAATTCAAAACAGGGGCACTGACAAAGCTTCAAGGATGAGAAAAGGGCTCATGGACACAGGCAGTGTGACTCTGAGCCATGGGAGTGGGACAAACCTGGTCCAAATCCCATTTCTACTACTTCCCGGCTGTGGGACATTGGGCAGGTCACTGCTCTGAGCCTCACATGTACTGTAAGGATAGTAACAGTGCCTGTGACAGTACATGTGAGAACTACATAAGGTAACACTCATCACACTCAGTAAGCATTCAATAAGTACTGTTATAGCGTCACCATGGGAAACTTAAGATATTGGAGTTAGACACGAGTGGAATATGTTCATTAATACCTTATTCCCCACCCCAACTTGATCTTTTGGATTTTTCAAAAGAAAACAAACAAACAAAAAAACCCCCCAGTTGATTTGAATGAACAATGAAGACCACGACTAAGAAAATAAAAACGGTTCTTACACTATCACATATTTTCCCAAAAGTAAAATGACTTTTCCATCAGGTGTAATGTTAAAACCACATATCGTGGACTCTGAGTAAACCCAGCTCAGAGAGCTACATTGTTCGTCTTTTCTTGTGTTACCAACACATCGGGGAGATTCTGACATCGGGCACAAAAGAGTTACAGGCTATTTAGTGATTTAGTGCATTTGTGCCTGTACTTTCCCAAAAGATAAGGTTTTAAGCTGATGCTATTTTACTTATAAAACACGTCTTTTTATAACCAGCCAGGAGTTTTTCAAGATGTCAGTAAGGGTTGTAATGAGCCCTGGGCCTTATCGCCCACTTGCCAAGGGGTGGAGTGGGCCAGCCCTCAGGAGGGGCCCTGCTATGTCACGCAGACAGACGGGAGCAGTAACTGCTGCAGACACGTGTTCGTCCCATACTCATCTCTACAGAACTGGGACCTCATGTGTGATAACCATGGGCTTAAGGCAGGTTTTGTTCAGTTTAGTACTAAAACCTTAAATGGATGAATTTTAAATTCTACCAACATCGGCATTCATACAAAAATTGGGTGACCTTATGTAAAATTTTACATGGAAATAAGTGCTTTAAACTACATAAAGGGTTTTGTTTTCATTACAACTTAATTTTCAAAGCCTCCAACTTACAACCTTTTGCCACTGTAATCCCTACGTAATGAAATTATAATATCATTAAGCAATTGCCTCTATGATATCCAACAATGGGAAACGTTTTGAAAGGTAATTATTGTGCTTGGGCATGGGGTAATTTTCAATTATATTCTTGGGTAGTGCAGAGTTTGTTTTTCCCCCAAATGTGAAATTGCTCTATTTAAAGATTGGCTGCAGAAGCTCTAAAAGGACAAATTAACAAATAAAGCCATTCTCTCCTACCAGACTAAGAGCATCTGGTCAGGGATCCAAATTACATTTTTTACACTTCTGCACACAATAAAGCCATTTCTAGTGAAATAAAATTGCCTTTCAGATAATAATCTATTTATAAACTTTCAGCTTCATCCACGTTGAAATTGGTTAACAGCAATAACTGGAGAAAGACCAATGGAGCCAGACGAACACAGTATCCTTACCCGCCCTCCCCTCACAGGCCCTCTACTCAGAGCTGCCCGGGCGAGCGATCCCTCCAGGTGACCCTTTGAAAGTCAATTAATACAAGTGCTTAATTACCTATATTTAATGCATTGTAACGGAAATAATAGAAAACCTATACGCACAAGCTAAGTCTTCAAGCTTAAAAACAAATGATGTGGCACCACTTTATCAGATTTAAAATCTCTGAATCAAGACACTGTACTTGATTTTCAATTTTCTGATGCTGCCATCTAGAATTAAAAAAAAAGTTAATGCATTTTCTCTCCTATAGATCTTGAGAACAGATTGACTGTATTTTCATGTGCATACTAATACACTATTACTTAAACAATTCAACGGGGAGGGATCACCGCAGGGAGCAGTCAGCCTGAGGAGCAATAAAGATGACATTTTAGATAAGATTCTCCCGAGAAGCAGGTGCTTGCAAACTCTACCACCAGCGTATCTCACAGGAGGGCAAAATTCACTTGCACTAGAGTCTGAGGAAGTCCACTGAGAACTGCTGAAGTTTGGTTTTCAGCAGATACGTACTCTCAACGGGGAAGATTAATGATCAACAATGGAATGAGAAGAGTGAAAAGATACCTCCTCTTTTAGAAAGCTGTATTGTTCTTTGGAAGGCAAATAACATGCTATGATTACAGTTCGGGTTCCATTTGGGAAATAAGTGCTTCGCCCCTTTTGTAAACACCGTGGCAGTATTTTACTTGTAAAGTGCCATTTAAAGAGACACGTTGAGGATTTAGATGATTAATTAGGAGTTAACTGCAATTTCATTCTTTCTGGGTAATTCCCACTTGTAAATGCGCACAGTATATCAAATCATCATGTTGCGCACCTTAAACTTACACAATGTCATATGTCCAGTAGGTCTCCACAAAGCTGGAAAACCCCCACAAAACAATCGTGCGGCTTTCGACTCTGAATGCCTTTTGGTCTCACAGGAAGGAAGGTCCCTGCCTGACTACTGGGCTGGGAAGCCTCAGAGCCCATCACCTCTCAGGGGTCTGGTTTCAGGAAGGTGCTGCACTGCAGCTGGTGGAAAGGCACCCAGACCCAGCAAGGGGCGCGGGACCACTTCCTGGGCCCCACCCTCTGGGTGCAGATGAGGGGTAAGTGGTGGGGTGTGGTTCTGGAGTAAGGGAGAGCGCCCCAGACACCAGCAATGTGTTCACCTCTCTGCTGGAGGGTCCCCTCCCGCGCTGGGGCTGGGGGAAGGCATCTCTTTACCTTAATGATAATGTTCCCCCACCTCCCAGTCCCTTCTGTGCAGACTCAATACCAGGTAAGTGTGAAAGTAGTGAGTGGGGGCCAGATTCCCCTCTCGGCTGGCTGCGAGGAGCCATGGGATATCACTAAGTTCCTTACTAGGAATTTAGATACCACATTTATAAAATAAGCATCTGTTGTCTGTTTATGTCTCATGTGAAATTAATAAACATTCATAAAGGAATATCCTATGTGGTTTTGCTAAGCAAAGGGTACAAAGGTGTTATTTTAATGAGACTGGTAACTCCAAGAGTCCTTCTGAATGCCTTTCTTGGTCAAGATCTGTGTCAACTGCAAAATCGAACTGTGACCTCCTCATTCAAAGGTTGATGCTCAACCACTGAGCCATGCTGGCTGAGCTGTTACCTCCTGAAGACAAAGGTCATTTTTGTTCTACTTTGGAGGTGGTAGGTGTGAATAATTTAAGGGTTACATCTGTAAAGAAACAAATGTCAAATACAAAAGGATAACTATATTTCAAACAAAAGGACAACTATATTTCACTTTCAAAAGATCAGTTTGGTAGTTTTCTTGAGAGAGTTCTGAAATCTTACCTTCCCATTGTTACATTTCAGAGGAGCTTCAGGAAAAGACTTTTTTTTAGTAAGTGTCAGGGCTTTGTGTCTATGGCAACTGATTCGCAAGCACACTGTGGCCCAGGAGGTTCTGGGAAGAGCCGTCCACTCCTCCATCCAAATGGCTGCTGGCTCGGCTGGAAGCTGGGCTTTTATACATTGAGACATTCTGGTCCAGAGCGACTGTGTCTTGACAAAAATGCAGTAGAGACTCAAAGGCCAGGTAAGGGGTGCCCTCATTGTTGTGGAGCCTGGGGCAAGTTTTCCAGAGTTCTGTCTTGATTATGCCAATGTCCCCTGCTGTTAAATGCAGTTATGCCTCCTGCTGCACAGTGCATCTCAGCTTCTTCATCTGACGCCCTCCTTGCTCTAAGTCCCAGTGTCCGCGTGTATGGGCCAATAATAGTATGTACCTACACCTCGTAGGCTATCCTGCGGATTAAGGTGCACACGTGTGCTGAGTCACAGGCAGATGAAATAAACCTTAGTTATTAGTGTTGTTACCCTAGAAGTCAGAAGAGGGGAGACCCCTGTTCACTGTGAACCAGTCTTCGCAACGACTTCACTTCCCAGTGCAATGGTCCTGCTGAAAGGCACTGATGTGGAGGAAGCCTGGGTCTTAATCCTCCTTGTGTTCTAACATTTGACCTTAGGCAAGGTCAAATTGAGGGGATGGGCTACATCAGTGTTTTGTTTTTTAAATATATATATATATATATATATATATATATATATATATATATATTATTGATTTAAGAGAGGAAGGAAGAGGGAGAGACAGAAACATCAATGATGAGAGAGAATCATTGACTGGCTGCCTTCTGCACGTCCCCTACTGGGGATTGAGCCTGCAACCCAGGCATGTGCCCTTGACTGGAATCAAACCTGGGACCCTACAGTCCACTGGCTGATGCTCTATTCACTGAGCCAAACGGGCTAGGGCTACATCAGTGTTTTTAACTGGTTCATCAGAGCCCCAGGACAGGATTCTGAGACCCTAACTTCCCTTTTAGCCAAAGCAGTTCTGCTTTTATCTCTTATATATTGGGATTGAAAGAACGGTTTTTCACTGCTTATAAATAAAGTTTAAGAGCCATTACATAATACAGCCTATAACTGCTTTAATGGCTCTAAGTTTAATGCTCTCGCTGTTGAATTTTAGAAATATACCTAATATACTGAAAAATTAGAACTAGGGAGAAAATGGAAAGTCACATTTCAATGAATTAGCCTACTTGGTTTTTCAAGCCTATGATAAGAAATGACCAGTTGAACATTTCTTTCCCTCTTTTCCTCCCCTTTTCCCTTCCTGTATTCCTTCCAGTGAAAATTCAGAATATCTGATATACACCAGAAAGAGCATAGGGATCCAGGAGCGAGCAAAACTGACAAAGGAGGATCCAGGATCCTGGTACTCGGATCCAGGAGGATCCAGGATCCTGGTACTCGGATCCAGGAGCGAGCAAAACTGACAAAGTCTCTGTTCTTGGAAATTCAGAAGCTACTTAGGGAAAAAAGACAACAAACAGTTAACAAATTACAAGTTGTAAGAAGGCTGTGAAGAAAGTGTACACAGCAAAGTGAGAGTGAAGGATTGCCTCAGATAAGATGGTCCAGAAAGGCCCGTAGGAAGGTGGGCTGCCAGCAAACACCAGGCCTGGCGGTCCAAGTCCAGTGTCTTGTCCTCCATTCACTCCTTCAGTCCCTTGTCCTTGCCCTAGATATGGTCAGCAGTCACCTCACCCCTCAGCCACTCCCATGGAGGCATTTCTGACAAGCCTGGGAGGGGAGGGGAGGCAGGTCCAGGGCTGAAGCAGGTGACCAGAAGTCTGTTGTTTTTGTCCTTAAAGAACTAAGCTACTAAGCCCTTGAGATATTTTAATTTGCTTTTCTATTGATTAGGAATTCTCAATAGAAGAACAATCTTTCACTTCCGGGTTTTGTGCATATTTTACAGTAAGTAATCTATTTACTTGGTTCAAAACTTAAAAAAAAAAAAAAGAAAAAAGAAAGAAAGAAAGAAAAAGAAAAGAATAAAAACAATGATTGGGCTCTGGGACCAAGCTGCTTGGATTCACATCCCAACTCCGCTAATGACTGTGACCTGGGGCAGGTTAATCAGAAACTGTGCCTTGGTGTCCTTAGCTATGAAAAACAACTACACACACACACACACACACACACACACACACACACACACACAAACACACACACAGAGCCTTCCTATAGTGTTGCTATGAGGGCTAAATGTAACAACTTAGCATGTGTCTGGCACATAGTAAGTGCTAAAGTAATGGTATCATGGAACTGAAACGCAGAACGAGTCCCAGGCTGCCCACAGCCGTTCCTCCCTTCTCCTTCTGATGATATAAACTGAATAACTGACCCCATTATTTTTCCTCGAGAAGCACATTCTTTATAAGATCAGATAAAAATACTATTTCTATATATTGGTAAATATGAACTGTTCTATGTCTTTAAAAATAAGCCAATAGCATGTAAAGATAAACCAAATAGGAGACACTGGTTTTTAATGGTTTTAATTAGCTACAAACCACCCAAACATATCAGAAAAGGAGAAAGGGACCACTGACAAAAATCTAGGCTGATACGCAGAAGGGGTGTCAGATCTGGTTAACTTTAACCAGAACATTTTTATAATCCTCTGAGTTTAATTTGTTGGTTTGTCCTTGATGAAAGTTTTGTTTACCTTTAACGTAATTGAGCTCCTGCTGTCAAACCCCCCCTTTGCAACGGGGACTGACAACATCCTTTCACCTGCTCCTCATAACACTCCTCGTGGGTGCCTTTGCTCAAGGACGTGGTCTCCGTTCCTGTGTCTTATTTAGAATACTTAACAGAACACGTTATTTGTTTCCTCACAGCAAGATCTCCTCTGGCAGCCAAGATTCTAGTTCTCTGTCATAAGTAATTATAAATGTACGTCTCTAAAAAGATTCCCAATTTGAGGGGCAAAATCTATTTCAGATAGTAAATCACAGAGACATCTCTATCCCTGGGGCGACCCAAATGTACAACTCAGATGTATGAGCTTTCACTCCAAATTATCCATATCTGAAGAAAAATGGATGTTCCACTTTCTCCCTGGGGCAACTAAGAACCCCCGCTCCCCCTTCCCCAAACTGGTGTCTTCGTTGGAGCAATTTATATTGGTTAAAAATTGTTTTAACCTCAGATACAGAGCTTCAGTCATCAAAACCCAACTCAGAAAACCGTCTCAGGGAGTCCTGCTCTGAGGTTGTCACTCCAGTTATGAACTTGAGATCTCCCCAGCCCCCCTCCTCAAGCCCTCTGTTTCCACCAAACGTGCTTTTGTGTTTCTTCTCTCTATTCACCTGACAACCATGTTCCCTACTCACAATCAGAAACTAATGGTTTGTCTTATTAGGCTCAATTTACAAAGGCAGTAACCAAAATTGTGAAGGTCACAGCAGAAATTGGTAGAGTTGGAATTCAAATGAGGGACAGTTTGACACCAAGTCATGTTCTTCCTCCTTAAATCATATTTTGTCCTGGAGTAACCTTTAGAATAAGGAGGAAAATTTCTCTCTTTGTTCTTTTTAGTTGTAAAGAACCCATCGTTGTATGAAACAAGGCACAGGTAACTGATTTTGGGTGTGGGAGTCTAGGCGTTCAGGATTTAATAAAAAAAAAAAAAGTGGCATCTCAAAGTGACCAGTTTTCTCTATTTATAGTTAATTATTTTTATTTTTTTATGCATAGCACTTTTCATATTCCCACCTTGAGCAGTCAAACTTCCAGAAGAATCCTGATGCTGCTCTGCAGGCTGCCGACTGGGGGGAACGATGGGTGGGCTCAGCATGTTTAGCCAGTCCCTAAAGAGAAACGAAGAGCCAATGAACACACACGCCTGTGATTCCATAGGCAGCTTTTACCTTTCCCTGGATCTTTCGCATTTATATTTTAGAAAGACAAGATGTTCAAAAGTTAATATTTATTTTATAAACTGGTTAATGTAGAGTCAACCACTTAACTAACTACAGAGCTCCTTGACTTACCATGGAGTTACCTCCTGATAAACAATCATGAGGTACAAATACTGTAAGTTGAAAATGCATTTGATACATCTAACCTACCACATATCATAGCTTAGCCCAGCCTACCTTAAACATGCTCAGAACACTTACATTAACCTTCACTAGGGCAAAATTACAGTTTTACAGTAAAGTGTTGAGTAATTTATTATGCTATTGCTTTCATATCACTGTAAAGCTGGAAAATTAAATCGAACCATCATGAATTAGGTATTGTCTGCAGTTGTTCAATAAATACATCAACTACATAAAGGGGGCATTCTTCTCAAAAGTTTGTTACTAAACTGTAGCACAGTTTCTCTCACATAAGAACATTATTTTAGTAACTCAGAAAGAATGCAGCAGAAACAAAGCTCCTTATAACCTCAGGGTAAGAAAGCCTGACAAAAACACATGTCACATGCCGTGAATGACAGCACTCTCCATAGTGACTAAAAGCAGAAGTTAATCTTGGGTGATCGTGCACCAGCCGATCGTGGTGGTGGGAGTCAGTCTGCATTAATATGGACTCTACAGCAGCAGGGGGTGAAGGAAGGCAGAGTGAGGGAGCCGGGCCCTTGAGTGACTCACTAGTCAGCTCTCCCATTAGGCCTGGGGACAAAACCACTCCAGAGCACCTCCTACATCCCCTCTCCCTCTGCCTCCAACCTCCTTCCCCAATGGCTTGGCTTTCCTTCCTCTGTCATTCTTTTCCAGTCCCTGCTCCCCCTAGTAGACACCTGGGAGGGTGTGATGTGAGGGGTGACATGCAGAAGATGGGAGTCCCCGTGTACTCTACTTCACCCCTTCTTAGCTCGAAACTTGCTCCTGTGCTTCTTTAGAGAAGGGAGCAAGCAGGGGAATGTGAAGGATTTTACAACATGAATTTTATTTCTTGCGTTGATATAGTGCCCTGTGGTTTACCTTATTCTTCTCAACAGGAGCATGTCATCCTGACTAAACAACTTTTTCCCTGTACTTCCTTTAATCTTTATCTCTAATGGGAGATAGTCCCAACCATAACTAAGAGTAGTGGTTCTCCAGGCCAATCCTGGCTCCACCTTTCCTAATGTAAGAACTTGGCCAGATCACTTAACATCGTAAGCCTCATCTATTATATAAAAAGGAGATAACAATACCTCAGCGTTTTGTTGTTAGGATTGAATAAAAATATGGATGAGAAACATGTGGCATGGCTCTGGGTACAGAGTTTGCACTTTATAAATTTTAGCTATTATCACCACCATCTTCATTATGAAGGAAGATCATAGTGTGACTATCTACAATGATAAACCAAGGTAAAAACTGGATTCTGTTGACATTAAACCAATAAAGGATGGTAGAATGATTACAAGTCTATACAGTAGAGATTTCCCTTGCAGGCCATTTACTCCTTTTGTATAAAAAGTACCTAATGTAAAAATTATCCATTTCCTATTTGGAGTATTTTAAGCTACTTTAAGTAACTGCACACCTCAGCTATTACTAGATTATGGCTAGTGAAATAAGCAAGGTGAGTGTGCTGGGTAATTGAATTTCATAGTAACACATTAAGGACATCAAAAAGGATTTGTCACAGACTTCCAAGCTTATGGGGCATTTTCTGATAAGCACTTTTTATTTACTAGTAGTCCATTTAATTATAGTAGACCAAAAATTCCTACATTATAGAAAATTACAAGGTCACACACAAATTATCAGCTCAATGACCTCATTACTCAGTAAGAATGATGGAGAGCAAGGATGGGTGAACAGGAGAAAAATAATGTTGTCCTATGATGATACCCCCAGAGACAAATTAGAAACTCCACCCAATGGCAGCAGAAGCACCTCAGCATGGTCCATGGACATGGGAAAGAAGGTCGGTGTGGTTGTTGTGTAACTGTTATGAAAAGCAAGGCATTCACTCCTTAGGCAAATGATTTGATTAATGTTTTCCCTTCTTAGCAGTAGCCATAAAAAGTATAGGGATCTTCAAAAAAATATTTTCAAAATTATCAAAAAGTTGTAAGAGTAGAATTCCTTAGTCCTTCACTCAGATTCCCCCACTAAACATCACACTTGCTTGTGATCTACCTATCTACCTAATCATCACCTACCTACCTGTCTATCTACCTAATTATCACCTACCACTACTTCTTCATCTAGATGGGCTGATACAGGATAGCCTTTGGGCAAAGCCTGTCTAGCAGACTGCCTGGTCTGTCCAATCTGAAGACCAAGAATGGCTTCTACAGCTTTACATTTTATTTTATATTAATTCTCCATTGTTGAAAGGTTACATATGTCTCCTTCCCCTCCCCCCCCCCCCCCCCCACTGACCTCTCCCAGGCTGCTCCTGCCTCCCAGCACAGGCCCTCACCCACGTTGTGTCCACAGGTTATGCTTATATGCATGCATACAAGTTTTTTGGTTGATCTCTAACCCTACTTCCCTTCCCTGCCTTCCCTCTGTGGTCTGATGGTCTGTTCTGTGCTACTGTGTCTCTGGATCTATTTTTGTTCATCAGTTTATGTTGTTCAGACGTTTTTACATTTTTAAATGGTTGAAAAATTTTAAAATAATAATGCTTCATGACACATGATAATTACATAAAATTAAAATGTCAGTGCCCATAAATAACTTTTATTGGAATGCAAAAATGTTCACTTGCTTATGTACCATCTACAGCTGCTTCTGTGCTACAGGAACAGAGGGAAGTATTCACCAAGGTCCCTGACCTGTCACATGGTTCATACTGATTTCTCCAATTCTAATGCAACCAAAGGTCTGTCTCATCTCTCCTCCTTCCTTGTGTGTAACTCCCCTCTGCTGTGGAGACCTGGCTCCCATTATCTGCACCATTTTTACTATTTTCTGAACTACAGAACACGCCAAAAGTCACTGCAGACTTGCTAAGCAAACAAAACAAATTAAACAACCAATAGAAAACCTCTAACCTACTCCCTAGGGTTCTGTTTATGGTTCTTCTTGTTCTTTAGTCAAAATACTAGGTCCGAATTTACTTGGGTTAGTTATTCCCTCTGCCCCCCTTCAGTGTGGTTACACAGACGGTCCCTGATTTACGATGGAGTGATTTACAATTTTGACTTTACAATGGCGTGAAAGCAATAGCATTCAGGAGAAATTGCAATCTGAATTTTGGTCTTTCCTCAGGCCAGCAATATGCAGTATTATTTTCTGTTGTGATGCTGGGCAGTGGCAGTGAGCCACAGCTCCCAGTCAGCCATGCGATCACTACTGATACTCTACAGTGTGTTCATATGTGAGATGATTTTGCCCAACTGTAGGCTAGCATAAGTGTTTTGGGCACGTTTAAGGTAGGCTGGGCTAAGCTATGATGTTGGATAGATTAGGTATATGAAATGCATTTTTGATTTAGGATCTTTTCAACTTCAGATATAACCCCATCATAAATTGAGGAGCATCTGGATTATTCATTTGAAATATAGAGTCATTAGCTTTTGTTTGTATCACATTTTAGTTTTTTTTCTCCATCCTTAATGATTTTTATTACCTGTGTTGTTGTTGAGAATGTTACACATTAACAGTTCAAAAGTCAAAACTACACAGGAAGACATATTCAGGTAAGATTTACATTTCACCCATCCTTCCAGTCTGTTCCCACCCCTCATCACTTCTATGTCATCACACCCATCGCTCCATAGGTAATTTCATTAGTTAAAAATTTCCTTTCTATTTTTCTTTTTGCAAAAAATAGCAGATACATGTCTGTTTTTTATTCATTATCCTTCCTAAATAAAAGGTGGCATACTATAATTAATTTTTTGCATTTTTATACTTAAAACGTATCCTGGAAATCACTTACACTAGTTCATAGCTTCCTCATTCTTATGGCTGCATAGTACTACACTCTGTGGGTGTGCTATCGCTTATGTCACCACTCTCTTATGTTTGGGCATGTTTTCAATATTTTACATTATTACAAATTAACTGAAAGAATTTTGCAATTAATGCTGCAATGAATAACCATGGGCATATCTATTTTTGTATATACACCCTGAGTGGGCAGATTATTATGATCTCTGAACACATAATAATCTGGCCATTTAGTGTATATCTTATATATTATAATAAAAGGCTAATATGCAAATTGTTCCCTCAACCAGGAGTTCTACCAGCAGGTAGGCCTGCCAACTGCCCATGCACGAATTCATGCACTGGGCCTCTAACACACACACACACACACACACACACACGCACATACACATACATCAAAGATCATAATAATCTGGCCACTCAGTGTATATCTGGAGATATATCTTTAAGATAAATTTCTAGAAGTGGGATTCCTGGGAAAAAGGTAAATATTTACTTGGTTTTGTTAGACAAATTCACTCCACCAGGATTGTTCACATTTGTGTTCCCACCAGTCATGCATGGAAGTGCTGGTTTCTTAACAGCCATGTCACAAGTTTTTAATGCTTTCTAATATGAGAGATGAGACCTGATATATTAAAGCAGTTTTTAAAAAAAATATATTTTATTGATTTTGTACAGAGAGGAAGGGAGAGAGATAGAAAGCTAGAAACATCGATGAGAGAGAGTCATCGATCAGCTGCCTCTTGCACACCCCCTACTGGGGATATGCCCGCAATCAAGGTACATGCCCTTGACCGGAATCGAACCTGGGTCCCTTCAGTCCCCAAGCCGATGGTCTATCCATTGAGCCAAACCGGTCTATTAAAGCAGTTTTAATGTGCACTTGTTTTCATTATGAGCATCATGAGTGGAGGTGACTGTACTTTTATATTACTATTTATATATATGCATGTGGTATT